AGAGCTAAATTATCAGCATTATAAAATAGAACCATTTTAAGGCCAAATTATTTGAAGCCTTTTAGCATGATCTTATCCGTTAGTGAATTAAGCTGTCCTTACGTTTCATACATGGGTTTAACATTCTCAGGCTTTGCTTTTTCCACAAGTTGCTTGACTTCGGTGTGTTTTTTAAAAACAAGGCAGCAGCATCCTTTTCCTTAAAGGCTTCATTTGATAGCTGTCTTCTGGACTAGTACTGCAGTTAAGTTTTACCTGAGAGACTTTCTAAGATTTCAAGCAACACTTTATATTCAGAGTTAGGATATTAACTGTTTGGGGCTGGAGCCTTAGGGCATGACAAGGATTTAACTGAAGTATTTCTGTCCTGATTAAATGTTCAGAAGATGCTATTTTATAAGATCAGGTCACCCAAATGTTTTGGAAACAGGTACCTTGTTTGGATTTTTTCCCTAAATTTTCATTTCCTCCCCCCAGAAACCCAAACACCCAACAACAGGAATTATTGCCATTACATTGGCATTTCACATATGTCATGAAGTTCACCTTGCTGGTTTTAAGTACAACTTTTCTGACCTCAAGAGTCCTTTGCACTACTTTGGGAATGCCACCATGTCTTTGATGAATAAGGTAAAGAAGTATATGTGTGTGTGTGTGTGTGTGTGTGTGTGTGTGTGTGTGTGTGTGTGTGTACATACTCACACACTTTGGTATAATCTTTGATCTTTAGAGTTGGAAAGCTTATATTCTCCCTTTTTTCACCCTGTCATTTTACTGAGGGAACAGGTTTTGAGGGGATGACGGCTTGATAAGGGTTTACAGAGATAGCACGTGCTGAAATTAGGACTCAGGTCCAGAGTTCTTACTACAGCAGCAGTTCCCAATCTGTTGGCCTCAGACCCTTGGGAGAAACTCATCAAACCTATATAGGGACAAAGCCTTACCCTAGATACTGTATCATATTTGCACTATTTGAATATATAGAAACCTGCTGTTTGAGATATTTCAAATTCACCTAAAAGCTTGGCCATAATCATACAAATTATTTTCATGTAGTTTTTCAGTTAAGTCGATGAGAAGGTCCATAACATTTTAACCTCATGAAAGAATCTTCATGGTCAGAAAAGTTGTAAACCTTTATACTAGATCATTCTTCTCTTGAATGGGGATTAATGGTGGTGGATTTGATCCTTAAGATTTTGACTTTAATTGATTAAATGGGAAGGAATTTCCTATTTTCCTAATTATAACTTAGATTAGTGGCACAGTGATAGGATTAAAATGTTACCTGTACATTTTAAATATTGAACTGTGAATGATTTGCTGTTAAGTATAAGGATCTATCCCATGACATGAAACCAGTCCCCTTAAATCTTCATCCCTAAATACTATATAAGCTGAAAAAGTGGTATTATTCAGGTTAGAGCTTAACACTTTCAAATTCTGGTTTCTAGATTTATACCATAATTCAGTAGACTAGAAGATGATGTGAGGGAGCCTCTTACTTATGTGATGGTTTAAGTGGAAAGAG